GTAACGTAATGATCATTTATCTAATCCAATGATGGATTTTATATGAAGTTGCGAAAATCAAAAATATATCTAGTCGAGCTATTAAAAATCAACAACCTATTCAGACTTTCTAGGTTTACATTTGTTGGCTGTTTTATAAATTTTTCTTTACCATTGATTATGGAACACCTCTCTGCTTTTATATATATTTATATATACATATACATTACTTACGTAACATTTAAATTCAATGTGTTTGAAAAGGAACCATATGTATGTGTCCTGCATGTTTATTTTCAATCAATTATATGTACTTTTATTTAAATGTGAAATCTTACATTCATTTCGATCAAGACAAGACAAGTTGCAGTATCTTCGTTATTTATTCATAGGACTTAATGAATACCTAGAATTTTCTATGGTAAAACGCTCTCAGCTATACGATTCCGGTTTATTTAGGTATTGATACAGAAAGGATATGAATCAGTCATTAATGTATCATCCTAGATCAAAGAACGATTATAAATACATTAAGAGTGTTACATTCATAGTGATTAGTGAGACTAAGTGCAAGAGACAAGTGCAGGTATTTTGAATAATATAAGCACTACATGTAAGTTAGACTTGTGGGTCGGGATAAACGCTAATTACGGAAGCAATTAAAGATAATGACAAGGTTATATGTCACTGTGTTGCGTATAAGGAGTCATAAATTATCGAAATTTATGCACAGGAACATTTGCAAATTCTATATGATAATCTCAGAAACATATAAATTTATGTAAGTTTATTACTAACGCTTAAGTTAATTTGCCAATTAAGGAGTAGATAAAGCAACTCCTTTCAAAATAATACATCTTACTACATTTTTTCAAGACTGACCATAATTTTTATTGTTTTCCATGCCTTACAATGTCTTTAAGGATAGGTAATATCCCTTTTAAGCTTGAAGAAAATGCATACTTTATAGTTACGTTTTTGTTACCTGAATTTGAATTGTAAATTATGGCCGAAAATAAAAAAAATAACAAAAAATTGGAACTTAAAATCAAAATATTTGAACCTTAATAATTTTTTGCACATAAATGAGATTGACTTACGATTTTTCAACTTTATACACTTCCATTCCACACTATAAATTTAAGTCCAGGCTTTTCGATACCATTGACAGCTGCTTTTTTAATACAAATGGAACTCATGAATTTACTTACCTTGTCAATGGTCATTTGCAAAATTATTTTGTTAAAAAGCATTCTGATTATACACACAAGTATTTTGAAGTCGACATCAAAAAGATGCTTGAGTTTCTGATTGACAAATTTATGTTGATTTTGGTGACCAAAAGGTCTTCGAACAATATACACAGTGTATTGGAATTCCCATGGGTACCAGTTATAAGCAAACCTATTTTTGTATTTATATGAAGCAGATTTTGTGCAATATCTTATGCATGAAAAGGGAAAAAAACATGTCGGTATGATATATTCTGGTGAGCTTGAGATAAAAGGTACCACAGAGTCTGACAAATCTGTTTCATATTTGGATATTTTACTTGAAAAAGATGTTAATGGTAATCTAACAACCAAGCTTGATGATAAACGTGATGACTTTATTTTTTTCTATCTTCAACTTCCCTTACTTATGCAGCAATATAACTTTATCACCTGCATATGGAGTTTATGTCTCTCAGTTGATTCGATACGCAAGAGCACGTATGAACAATTTCTAAAACGAGGTAAATTATTGACAAGCAACTTAATGAAACAATAATATCAGTAGTCTCGTTTAAAGTCATCATTTCGTAAGTTCTATGGTCGGTTCAATGACCTTGTCAGCAAATACCGGTACAATTTATCATTGAGTCAAAAGCTGACTGACGTTCATACTAATTGTTAGTCCCTTATAAATACACTGAATTGACGACAGATTTTTCTATTATTTCCGGATCATAACAAGGAGCACACAGCAGGTATGACTGGTCGGCATGGGATGCTCTCTCTTACATGGCATCTGATCCCACCTCTGATGTTCTGGAGGTCCGTGTTTGCTTTGCTCCGATTTTGTATTGTTTTATGGACTTTTGATCTTGAATACTGTTCGTTATCTTCATATGTTTATTTAAAGAGGCTAGGTTATGATATATCTCAAACTATATCACATGCAGACCAAATAAAGAGAAATTTAAAAATGCAACTTTTTTTCAATGACAAATTGTTCAGTACTGAAAAAAAATTAAGTAAATTCTTTTTGAATGTCAAACAAATCATAGTTGGGAATAATTAATTTGAATCCTAAAATGCTATTTTGCACTGTTTATTATATTCATTTCCCATTTCATTTACCTCCTCTCTACAATATATTTTGTACATTAAAGAGAATAAATCATTTTCATTGTCACAATAAGATGGAATACAAATATGATGCCGAGTCTGTGATTATCATAGACCGTCAAACGGAGTTTATGTATCTCAGTTGATTCGATACGCAAGAACATATTCTACGCATGAACAATTTATAAAACGAGTTAAATTATTAACAAACAAGTTGATGAAACAAGAATATCAGCAGTCGATCTCGTTAAAAGTCATCATTTCGTAAGTTTTATGGTCAATACACCTTGTCAGCAAATACAATTTATCATTGAGTCAAATGCTGACTGACGTTTTTCATACTAATTGTTACATGTAGTCCATTATTTATACACTGAATTGACGACGGATTTTCCCGTTATTTCCTGATTATGACTAGGAGCACACGGCAGGTGTGACCGGTCAGCATGGGATGCTCCTCCATGACACCTGATCCCACCTCCGATGTTTTGGAGGTCCGTGTTTGCTCTGCCCTTGATCTTGGATATTGTTCGTTATCTCCTTATTAATCACGAGAAAGCGTATACAACCATTATGTGTACGTGATATTCTACTCTTAGACATTAATTATTGTCAATGCTTTGATCTTGCAATCAGTATTTTTTGTGATGATAAAATCTCTTATTTCCAAGAACTAATACGTCACGTTTCATTGTGTCTTGCGATAAACGTTTTTAATGCATTCACTTGACTAATCCTAGTGAAGGTCAATTAATTCACCATAGGATTACTTAAGCAATCAGTGAGATGTCAAGAGGAAGAACGAACACGTCATTAATTTTAAATTTATTTATTAAATCGAAAATAATATACATTCATTGTATTAATATATATGACAAATAATTTCATACTATGAGGTAACCAGACATTATATAATAATGCATTAATATTATTACTTTTTGTTGAAGTTACAAAACCTTAACGGAATTAAACTACAGGAAAACTCGTAGGCTCTATGGCATAAATAAAAAGGTGCAGTAATGAAAGACGGAATAAAAGGTTAATATGTCCTTGAAAAGGCTAAAAACGAAAAAAGGAACTAGCGTTGATTAATATTTCGTTGAAAAGGGCAAAAAAAAAACAAGAAGCTTAAACATTTGTGATAAATCTATGTATATGCAAATATTTTTTATTGTTAAAAGACCATAAAATTAAAATTTAAAAAAAATGTTGGATATATATTCATACTAACGTCCAAAGTGATAGGCGTATTCAACGTATTTATATTCAATTAAAAATCAGTTGAGGTTTGAAAAAATATGGATTCAAGACAATATTCAGCACATATGAGTGCCGAGTATAGGTCTAAATTTGAAGCCCATCACCGGCACATGGTGGCTTCTCCATATGAAGGAAAAATTCTCGAGAGGGACGTTAAACAATATACAATCAATCAGTCAATCTAATACACTAGTTACAAAAATAAATACTTGTGTAAGTAAACAGAGCTTAGATTTGATTACATGAACCAGAATTGTCATCATGATAATTTTTGTGTTTGATATCTTATTTTAAAATTACAAATAAGTGAAGGGCAATATCATAAAACTTATGGTACAAAAAGGCTTGGTCTCTATGCGTCCTCTTTTTTTATTCATGTAAATACATTTTTATAAAAGGCATTATCTTTTCATGTTATTACAACATCAAGACGCCTTTGATAATTTTCCCGTCATTTGATTCCAAAAAGCCTCTGTTAAAAATAATAGATGTATGTAGTTATAAAAATAGGACAATTTTAAAAACCTCTAATTTATTACATGTTACACTGTTTTCTTTAAAGATATGAATCTTCAATCAGCAATTTTTTTACGTGAAAATAATTCCTATTCAGATTAACAAAGATGATATGAGTAAAAATGACAAATTTTATTGAATTTATGGCGTTATCAAGCCTTATTTTTCATGAGTTTTTTTTCTGATTTTGTTTCATATAATTATGGTGCGTACATGTTTTAACATAATTCAACATTTTACAAAATAACATTTTAAGTACTTACTTCAAAAGTTTTTACATATTGTATTTCATAGGAAAATTCAAAGCACAAAAACAAAACACATATATGCACATACATATACAATGCCCATATGAAGAAATCTTATTTTAAAATCATTTGGAATGCGTCTACATTTCAAGACATACCTCGCTGTCTCACCGGTAAAGCAAGGAAGTAAACCATCTAAAAACAAAATCTGAAGCTTACATAAAACAATTGAGCATTTTAACAAAACAATCACCGGTTTTGATAGAAAAAAAGGTCTATAAACAATCAATAAGCAGACCTTTCATAAAAATAAAGATCTGTTATAAACAAAACATGTATACATTAATTCACATAAAAAAATAACCGGGTTTTTAAGGGTTCAGCAGCATGGGTATTTCAAAGCAAGTGTAAAGCAAGGTCAACAACCCTTTCACAACCTCACACTCAATAAAATCTATTCATTCTAAAAATAGACATGTAAAATGCTTCTCAGCAAAAATATGGCACAATGTTCTTGGTATAATACATTTAAACAAATTATTTTCTTTTTCATATTGAAACATCAAATAATTTCACAGGGTTTCATTTACATTTTTGCACATATTCATGAAATCAGTAGTTTGTTAGATTCTAAAAACAAAGTAATTGAATCTAACAATTGTTCATTCTGAAAGTTAAAAAAATAATAATGAAAATAATTAGTTAACACAGGCGTAACGAGACAAAAACAGTATCAGGTTGACGCAAAGATAATCATTTTTACCTGGTCATTTAATTACTAAATAGATTACTTCATTAATTTTTTTAAGCTCATTTACAAGTTTTTAAATCTTGTCAACTAGATATAGGAACATGTACTTTTTACAAGAAATGAACTTATCAAATACAAGACAGAGCCCACTTTTGAAATATATATTTGTTTGATTCAAAGGTCCAGTAGTTCTCGAAGCAACGGGTCTGTATTCGAGTACTCTATGGTTTCGTCGAAGAAATGAAGTTGCATGTTCCGAGAAAAGTCGTCCACCAGTTGCCGAAGGTCCGTCACAAGCATGAGTAGCTTCGGTAACGATGCTGGTTTTTTGGAATGGTTTCTCTTCATAGAAATTCGTAATGCTTCCAAAACGTCATTTTGTATACTCTTTATCATGGGATCATCACTCAAGCCTTTTGTGTCTGTTAATAATAAAAACGATTCATAATTTATGGATCGCTGGTTTAACATAACCTTCTTTTTCATCAAAAGACATTAAATTTTAGGATAAGAAAGGAAGGGGTCATTATTTTCGTTAAAGAAATTAATTAAAAAATCAAACAAGTCATATATGTATGCAAACATGAATACAAGAAAGCATAAAACATAAAGAACTAACAAAAGTACGGAAGCCCATTTAGGACCTATCGAAAAATATTTTTGAATTCGTTATAACGGTTTTTAGAATTCGTTATAACGAATTTAATTTGTTATAAGAATTCGTTAAACGAATTTAATTTGTTAAAACAGATTTATTGAATTCGTTATAACGAATTTAATTTGTTAAAACAGAGTTATTGAATTCGTTATTACGAATTTAATTTGTTATAACAGATTTATTGAATTCGTTATAATGAATTTAATTTGTTATAACGATTTTTAGAATTCGTTATAACGAATTTAATTTGTTATTACAGATTTATTGAATTCGTTATAACGAATTTAATCTTTTATTACAGATTTGTTGAATTGGTTATAACCAATTCAAGAATTTGGTTATAACGAATTCAACAAATCTTTAATAACAGATTAAATTCGTTATAACGAATTCAATAAATCTGTAATAACACATTAAATTCGTTATAACGAATTCAATAAATCTGTAATAACAAATTAAATTCGTTATAACGAATTCAATGAATCTGTTATAACAAATTAAATTCATTATAACGAATTCAATAAATCTGTTTTAACAAATTAAATTCGTTATAACGAATTCTAAAAATCTGTTATAACAAATTAAATTCGTTATAACGAATTCTGAAAATCGTTATAACGAATTCAAAAATATTTTTTGATAGGTCCTAAATGGGCTTCCGTACAAAAGGTAATTTTCACAAGCGAGAATAGTAAAATAAACATGTCGTTCCAATCAATTTAAAAGCACAAACACTAGTAAAAACTCCCTTTTCTATTCATAATTTATCTTTATTAATTATGATTTGTTTCACGAAAATCAATTTCTTTCAAACCTCATAAAGTTTTCAATACTATCTTACCGGATATTGTCAGTAACGCACAAAACAATGACAGGTCCATTTCTGTTAATTCCAAACTTGCTAACTTGTCCACTATTCTTAAAACGTCGTTCATGAGAACATTCGACGTTCTGTTCTCATGGATAGCTCTCCTCGTCACACGTATATAGTCAGACTGGTCAATAAAGTTTACATATTTTGGACCAATCAGAGACTGTAGCTGAAAAATCAAAAATCAAAAAATCTGGAATAATATATTTTCAAATTATGTTACGATGTTTATTTTTTTAATTCTTTTTCGGAAAGACGTCATTAAATTAAATTGAATCAAATTCTTGAATACATAAAGAGAAAAATTACCATAACCGCGGATACTGTGATTGCGCCTTGTTTCATGAGGTGGACCTTGTCCTGCATTCCAATCTCATTGAAGTTTGGAAGGGACTTGGCGAATCGAATAACAGCATCGCAACACGGAGATAAAACTGCTTGGAAGAGTCGGAAAAGGTAAATAGTGTCACTACTTTCAAGATTTTCTATGGTAGATGTTGGCTCTAGCTACAAGGAAAAGTTTATTTTTTTAATCATATTAATTATTTCTTTATTTACTATTAACAAATATTTCACTATTTTATCCCATTCATCAAAATATTTATTTTCAATATAATATATTTTTAATCTTACTTATTTATGTATTTTTTAAATTTATATCCAACAAAACAGATGGTTTCTTAAGTTATTTGATTTTACCTTGATACAAAAAAGGGAATACGGAATTATTTATTTCTTACATTTGAAAAGTGTTGTAATGAATTAGAATTGAAGAATGCTGAATTACTTTTTCCTGTTGTGCTTTGTAGTTTTCAATGATCGGGAAAAGGTGCTGCTGAAAGGCTGTTTTGATTACGTCAGAGAAGGTTCTCAGTTCGATGACGTAATCACTTCTGTTATTCGTCATTTCTTCCTTGTCTGCCATCAACTTTTCTCTTTCAGTTTTAGGCATGCGTCCAAAGCGCACAGCTATTAATCAACATTTTAAGAACTAGAGATATCTAAAACATTATTTCAAATTTATTTGTTTCATGCTAATCATGTCATTTCACTGGTTATCACGTAAACTACTTACAATCTTTTGACATTCCAGCGTTGATACACCTTTGGTAACGGCAGTACTGACATTTGTTTCGGGATGCAGTGTTAATTTTACATTTACTCTGCTCAGAACATGGACGATAATGCAGATTTTTCTTTAATGTCCTTCGAAAAAATCCCTGTTAAGAGGAATGTAATTTTTAAATATTTTTTAAGCAAAAGAGCTAAATAGCTATAATAATTTTTGCTTTCCAGTTAAAATTAATTTATTCCCGAGAAGTAAAATGAATACGATTTTGCTACATCTAGAGTCACTAGATTTATCGGGACATATTTCTGATGTTAAATGGACAAATTGGTATTTTAATTTTCTCTTCATAATAGATATTAATTTTCTCAGAAGATAAAAAAATATATTATTTATATTGATAACTGGAGATTAAATTTTTCATTTTTTCTCCCTTTATTTGTACCTTGCAGCCTTCACATGAATGTACTCCATAGTGAAAACCAGAGGCCTTGTCTCCACAGATACGGCAGAACACATCCAGTTCTTGAGTGTATTGTTGTTTGTTCTGCAAAACATACCTTATTTATAAATTTAATTTTAAAAAAAAGAATGTAGTGAGGTGATTTTTTTTCTACATATTTTCTCTATTTTGTGATTTTTTGGTATTATTCTATTACCTTTCCCTCTTGATACGGTTTTGTCCGATAGTCTCTTAGTTTACTTCTGGAAGTTGGCAGTCGTTTATAAGGTTGCGATTCGAACACGTCATCAATGCTTGTTGATGTAATTTCCGGGTTGTAATCAGGTGACTCTGTTGCATTTGGAGAGAGTGAGGAAGAGTTGGAATGCACGGGAGACGATCCAGTGGACGTTAAATCACCATGACCTGCGGACCTTAGATCCCCAGGGAGCGGCTCTATAAGGTCAAGGTCATGTAAAATAAAGTCCACGTTACACGATATGTCCTCAAATTCCATCTCCTTACCTTAAATCAAAATAAATATAATTACAAATTTTTATAGTAATTCTAAGAAAAATTATTTACATAGCGTGTAATTTTGTCTTCATTTGAAATATGATCTTAATAAAAATAATAATTTAGAAATGTCAAAAATTTTTATTACATGTACGAGAACATTCTCGTTATTTTTGACATGCATGTGTATAACGATAAAAAAAATTGCAGAAAATTTTGACAAAGGTACGTATAAATATTAATCATAAAAAGCCACTCCTGTTTGTCGTTCTAGGAAAGAAAGTAATAATAAAAATGTGTTGATGTAAATGTGATTCATATTAGAAAAACATTTCATTAAGTTTTGTTGATGTTTTATGATATTGTTGATTTTTAATAATAATGTGTTTAGTAATCAAAATATAATTGTGTTAAAAATCACTAAGATTCTTCAAGCAAGCCCTCTAAAGTTGATAATAAATGGATGCTGGAATTCTTTAACATTTCTGAAAACGTTTCAAATCTTTAAAAAAAACGGATTCTTTTAATTTTATGGAAGATTTTTATTTACATTATTAAAATAATCCCTCTTATTAAATTATTTTGAAGAACCACTGGATCGAAAAACTGAAATTGATGTGAATCCTTCCTGATAATTCATAGAATGTAAATTGATCAGATAATATCCTATAAGGAAAAGGATGGGATAACAACAGAGAATCTATGAGATACATCTCAGGAACCAAAGTGCCAAAAAAAATATTCAGGTAGTGTTGGTTAATGTGTAGATCATGGTCGTGGTCATAATGACACAATAGACTTACATCATAATATATTGGCAAAAATTGTAAAACACATAATCAACAGTGTGATATGAAAAGTTGAAACTTGTATGAAAATTATTATTTCAAAAAAAAAATTCTTATGTACACACCAGTAATCTGAAATTGATATTGAAACATCAAGTGTTCGGTTTCAAAGATGCATTTGGATTTTATATGATTTTACGCTCCTTCTGTCCTTCTGACCACGTCAATGGAATATAGGGTAAGTGATTTTTATACAATACTTTTCAAATTTTGCTACAAATTTTGCCCTATACACGGCACTCAAGGTCATTGAGCAGTGAGGGATCTTCCAGTCAACACCTTCTGCGACACGGGACCTCTGTTTATACTTATATGTCTCCACGTCCCACAGTGGGATATCAACTCCTTACTTCGTGACTCTAGGGCAGGCGCTTTAACCACTGGGCCAGGCAAGCGACATAAAAATTAAAACATATAGGCCCGTTAAAAAAGTTTGATTTATGTAATTGAAAAAAAATAGAGAGTTTGGTTTTTAATGATATATGTTAAATTGATATGATAATTTTCTCGTAAATTTCAATCGTCAAAATTACATACTAGTAATTTTAATTTATTATCAACTTGGTTTAACTTAAATTTTTGTAAACCTGATACAAACTTTGCCGTGCAGAGTGGTACGTAGATTGAAATGTTTGTTAGAGGTTATGTATATTTCAATTTAATGAAAATTAGATCTTTGATCGGCTAGTCCGCAATCGAAAAGGTTATTTACATGTAAGTACAGTAATGTACACTTGTTTTTACGTCAAGTATGCACCGCGTTTCCTTTGTTGGTAATCAAAAGAACGATATATTGGAATTTACTAAGCTAACGTCACCCTGGTCATTACACTATTTAAAAAGTTTAAAAAATAAAGCGATTTCTGAAGGGTTTTTTTCTTCACTTTTAACTAAAGTTAAAGTATTAATAACCGTTTTAAACTGTTATTTATTACAAAATACTGTATACAATTGAAATTTTTTTACTCCTTTTTACTCTCCTAAATTTGGTATAACAAGCCCGTATGATTGTTTCATTTAAAAACCGTGCATGATCGTTTTATAAATAGTTCTTTTGTCCCGACTTGATGGGCGGAGTAATAGAAAAGTGTGGGTTATGTACAGAAAACCCACACTTTTAACAAAAGAAATCACACCTAACTATGGTACAAGTCTCAGGAACCAAAGTGCCAAAAAATATTCAGGTAGTGTGGATTGTTAATTGCTCAGATCATGGTCTCTGGGGTACGGACACAATAGACTTACATCATAATATATTGGCAAAAATTGTAAAAGATCTCAAGAAAAGTTGGACCAGAAAAGTTGAAACTTGTATGAAAATTATTATTTCAAATAAAAAATTCTTAATGTACACACCAGTAATCTGAAATTGATATTGAAAAGATGCATGAATATCTGATTGACAATATCTTTGTTGTTTCTGAAGACCGGGTCTAACAACAATCTTTTGAAATTCTCAAGGATATCATATGTGCCCTGTTATTAGCAGACCTATTTTTGTTTTCATATGAAGCGCAATTCGTTCAAAGTCTTATATGTGAAAAGAAGAAAACACTTGCTTTGACCTGTTTAGATATATCGAATATGTATTGTCAATCGACAATGTTTATTTCCGTTCTTATGCCCATACGACTTATCTGTGACTGTAGGCTTGAAATAAAAGATGCCCAAAATCTAACACCTCTGTTTCATTTTTGGATATTATCTTGAAAACGACGTTATTAATGGTAATCTAACAACCAATCTTTATAATAAACCTGATGACTTTAATTCTTCAATCGTCACTTTCCCTTACTTATGCAGCAATATACCATCACCTGCATACGGGGTTTATATTTCTCGGTTGATTCGATACGTAAGAACATGCTCTATATACGTATGAACAATCTCTAAAACGAGGGAGTTGTTGACATTGACAAACAAGTTGATTAAACAAGAATATCCATAGTCTCTTGTCGTAAGTTCTGTGGTCGATACAGTGATCTTGTCGGTAAATACAATTTATCATTTAGTCAAATGCTGAGTGAACTTTTTCATACTCATTGTTGGTCCGTGTTTGCACCAAAACTTGTATATCTGAATTGAGCCTCAATTTCAAAACTTTGCTGAAACAAGCTTTTATACTAGCCTATTTACCCTATTCGACTGTTTGGCTTAAATATAGAAGTTTCTGAATAATGTTGATTTAACCATAAAAGAACTAAAAAAATGCTTTTTACAATGAAATGTATCGCCTTGCACGGTGAATTATTACGATACCACAGTTCGCGCTTAGGTATGTCACTGAACACGCTGCCATGCCCCAAAAGCTTTTGTAATCTCAATTATACCTGAATATTTTACTGAAACAATATGACTGGTAGCGAAAATTTAAGTAAACATATACAGTCTGCATACATATAACATGTTTATATTACAAAATGTACGTTTATTTAAATTCTGATTTCCATATAAGAGCTGAAATTTAAAAAAAAATTAATCACAGTAACACAAAACATATGTCCGTCATACATGTATCATCAGAAGCAACGAAATGCAATTATTTCTCCCTTGTCGTGTCAGAATTGAGATAAACATTGTATACTACACGTTTAACTGAAGCTAAACTTCAATATTTTTATGAATATTTGTAATGTAAATTTCACTTTTCCTTTTCGAGAAACAACTTTAGAATCTTATTGCTTCGGGATTTCTTCAATTTTATCCCGTTTTATGATAAGAGACAAAGTTTTTAGAGTACTTTTATTGATGACCTGATTCGATAAGTAATTTTGCATATTTTGAAATGTTCCCCAGTCGTGTTATATATCTTGACTGATAAAAATAGCACGGAGTTCATCCAGCGTTTAAGTATAGTGTGTTTCAGACTTCTTAACGCTTAGAATTTTAAATAATATAAACAGAAGATTTTCATATATTAATATTTTACATAGCAGTCCTGACTAAGTTTTAACATGTTATTCTTCCCATAAAGCTACTGAGATTATTTTGAATATTCTTTCAAATATAAACTTATAAAAATTATTTTAGAAGGAATCATTATATGTTTTAATGAGATTTCTTTATAATATATAACTATATATACATTTTTTATACAAAAACAGCGAAAGTCAATATCCCCCAAGTGATATACCCCTCAAATCCTTGACCTAATTATGACATTTAAAAAAAACGAATTACCGGAATGTACAAAACTCTGAGTTAGGGTTGTCGTAGCCTGATAATAATATCAAATTACCTACTGATTCAGCGTACATTCACCCTGTATTGCACTGAGTTCAAGTCAGGACATTTTCTGTCCACTACCAACAAAGGCATTCCCCTTACAGTCTTATGACTTTGATTTAATTTAGTGAAAGTAAATTGGGGATTCTTTGAAAAATTATACAAAATATGCTCAACTTATATTAAAACAACACTACATTTAAAATATATCAACAGCAGTACGGCATTTCTGTACCAAAGGAAAATTGCCTTTTAATTATATACATGTATATAAATACTTCGGAAGTCTTGAAATATGTTACATATAATTCAACTAAATTATGAAAGTTTGACAGTTCATTTTATTTAAATTTGAAAAAAGTAAATATTTTTTTTTATTTTACATATTCTAACCTTTATAAAATCAAATAATAAGAATTTTTTGAAATCGATTAACCGATCTACTCTCACAAAAATGATCATTATGGCCACCTATGTTTATGAGGAATATTTAGCATTTCCTTTTTGTTTAAATCAGATAGTGAATAGTATTTTTGAAATATACTTCTTTTTAATTTCTGCTAAAAGTGTATGAAAGGTTAACAAAAGTTTACTCAGTTATTAAATAGAACAATAAAATTTGATATAACAAGGCTTGGACCAAGAGTCCTTGTTTCAGAAAGGTTTTGTCTATAAATTAATTAATCGATCTTTTCAAGAAAATATCTTTTGGAAACGTATTTTTTCTGGCAGGTCAATGAAAATCGGATAAAAAAAATGACGAACAACTGCTTCTTTGCATATTGTGACAATATAATTTAAATAGAAGAGCGGTCTGTATTAGTTTAATAGGCTCCTCTTTGTTTCTACGAAATAAACATGGCTATATGTAAGAGGAGAAAAATATAGTGTTGAATAGAAAAGAACATAAAGAACATATATATTTATTCAGATAATAACATCCAAGTTTTATTATCTTTTTTTATACATATGCATCTTAGCAAGTAAAACAAACACATTAAACTTCTAGTAGACATTGTTTGTAATTTTCCGTGTCCATTATATTGTATGTAATTTTCTCAAATCGAATTTTAATTAAAAAAAATCATCAATAAAAGGGAAATTAAGTACATTAAATACATTTAACTTAAAAAAAATGTAGTGTCCATCGATCAACGAATATATATTTGCAGTTGCAAATACATGATGATTTTAATACTGGTCTAGTTCAAAATAAACTATTGTTTAATTAAGATTAATTGCAGAGTATACATATCACATAACCTTATGAAATCAACATGAAAATGGTTTACATGCATAAGAATACCATTTCATCTCAAATTCAATTCAAAGTATTCTAAATATATTTTATCAGTTATGAATATTTTTATTCTGAGATTGAAAAATCATTTTGATACATCATTTTGTCTTAGGAATATCAATATTTGATGAACGAATATATATCTCGAGATTACAATGACAGAGCAGAAAAGTGTTAATATCATTCTTAAGTAAATACTTTTTTATATTTTTGTCTGATAATAAAATAAAATTTTGAATATAATATTAAAGACGTAAATATTGACTTACTGGTTTTGGAAATTTAAAGATGATTTATAAAAGACAATCCGCTACCTTGCATGCCATTACATCACAATAACTACCATCATTCTTATTCTGAAATGTGCTATACTTTTAAACGAAGCGTAGGGGACCCATACAGGATATTTTTCGGATAATGTTGCTCATATTCCACATAGGATTTTTTCAAATTTCCTTTGAATATTTGAATCTATAATAATTTCGAAAATTTTTTTTTTCAAAAAACAAATTAAATTTTTTTTTTTTTTTTCCTTTGTCGAAGCCAAATTTTGGCTTATAAGATTGGCTTATAAGAGTGTGATAGATAGTGTAATATAATTCTTTCGGTGAATTTTAGGAAAAGCCTTTTTCTCCTTTATATCAAATGGATTTCATGCTTTGTCTAAGACAAATATTGCCTTTATTAAGATTGTGGTAGATACATCGGAAGAATGATTCTTTCGGCGAATCTGGGAAGGAGGGAAGAGAGTGTCTGTTTAGAAATGTTTAAATATAAAATATTACTTATTTTTTAATAAAAATTGCAGACTCCCACGGGTGCCTCCTCGCTCGTCGGTCGGTGACCGGCAAGTTTATATGAGGACAACTGTTATTTGCTGGGTCATTTAAGGTCACAGATCAGGTTGACCCAACCTGAAAACACCATTGTGGGGTTCCATTTGGGGTGTAGACCGAAGAGCAGAGAAAGGATATTTATCTGTAATAGAATAGAATAGAATAGAATATCATTTATTTCCAATTTTGGGCCCATGAAGGGCATTCAAGAAAAATACAACATAAATAAAATATAAAGCTAAAGAGAGGAAGAGATCCAAATGATAGTTGAATTCATATGCAACGATGAATATGTATAATATATGATAAAAGTACACAAACGCAAATATTATACCACATCATGCATAAATTTTAGTGGATATCTACCTTGTCTGCATATTATATCATTCTCGACTTTCAAGAACATCCTGAGACAACATTGGATCTTTTATTGTAACATTTAAATATATATTCTGCAAAACTATTTATTATATCACTACTTTCATTTGACATTAGCCATATAAATTTATTTCTATTTGAAAGTGAGGAGAAATTTTTATTTTCTTCACTTATATGACTAATGAATACTTGCCTATATAGTTTATAAGTTGAACATTCAAATATAAAATGGATTTCATCTTCTACAGAGTCTGAAGCACAAAGTTTACACTTTCGATCCGTGGCAGGCACATTTCTGTATCTGCCAGTTTCAATTTCAAGCTTATGTGAACTAATGCGGAAGTTTGTAAAACATTTAAGAACTTCTGGTTTTGATATCATAGAAAAATATTTTTCTTTTATTAGTCTTGTTTTGTATAATCCATATATTCAAAGTTTGCCTTTTTCATTTCTAACACACTCTGATAAATTATTTTGCCATATATTAGTAAATCTTCTATTTAGTTCATTATAAACTATTGATGGAAGGTTTTCAGCCAAGATGTTGTCACAGGATATTCCTAATTGTTCTAGCATAAGATGAATACTACTCAACCAACAGCTCTTTCTATTATTATTCAATATTATATTTTCTTGTAGTGCACTTGCTAGTAAAGTACTATCTGATTTATAAATATGTTGCAAATATTTGGTACAATTATACAAGATTTCAATATACAATGGATGTCTGCCTAATTCACCCATAACAGCATGGTTAGAAGCTTTCTTGTGAACCCCACAAATATATTTTAGAGCTTTGATATGTAGTTTATCACTAAATAACTTTTTTAAGGAATTTTCTATTTCATAATTTGTCCTTTTAACAACTGCAGATTCTGTGTTTATAGTGCCCCAGATCTCACTTCCATATAAAACAACAGGTTTTACAGTATGATCAAAAAGATGTAACAAAATATTTGCATTTGGTTTGGTATTACCAAAACATTTTACCAATTTAAAGAAAGCTTTCAAACCACGCTTATATAAATCATACTGACATTGAGCAAATGAACCAGATGCATTGAATAAAACCCCTAGATACTTATATGACAATGTACACTCAATTTCATGACCTTTATATATAAAATGTAAATTTGTGAGTCGTGCATTTTTGTAAAAGATTACAACTTTTGTTTTTTTTTCAAATTTACAGTAAGACAATATTTATCACACAAAGTGGCCAGCTTGTTCAAACAATTCTGTAGGCCTTTTGGAGAAGATGATAATAAAACAAGATCATCAGCATAGAGAAGACAACTAAGAGGTTCATTATTCAAATATACTTGATCATCTTCACTGTTAAACATATCTGGTAGTTCATTAATAAGGATTTTAAACAAGTTTGGACTCAAATTATCCCCCTGCCTTACCCCTAATTCAGGGATGAAGCTTTTAGTAAGTTTATTACCAATTCGAATATGTAAATTATTCGAGGTGTACATGCTCTTAATGACATAGTAAAAAGGACCTCTAATATCAATCTGAGATAGTCTATATAATAAGGCCGAGTGAAGTACTCGTACTGTATCAAACGCTTTTGAAAAGTCAGTAAAACAGGTGTACAATTTTGAGTTAGAGGAGTTATATTTTTGAATTAGTGTTTTCAGTACAAACATATGTTCAGATGTTCTAGCCTTGGGTTGAAATCCTATTTGGCATTTATTGATAACTTTATGGTCATCTAGGTAAGTTTGAAGTCTTGCTTTTAATATACTATTGAACACTTTGGAGAGACAAGACATATATGCTAATCCTCTGTAATTTGAGGTGTCACATGGATCATCACATTTATATAATGGTTTTAAGTACCAAATTTTCCAATCAGAGGGATAAACTCCTGTAGAAAGAATTATATTAAATAGTTTTAACAAACATCCTACTATTTGGGATAATCCAGCTTTAATCATTTCATTTTTAATTCCATCAAGGCCAGCTGACTTGTTATTTTTAAGTTTAGTTACTGCATCAATTATCTCTTTTTCTGTAATTCTACAATCAAGGAGTGAAAAGGTTTTACTCTTTTGACTTTGATCACAAAGATTTCTAAAGTATAAGTCTTGTGGAGTAAACTTCTGATCTATTGAAAGTAGGTTTGAAAAATGAGATATCCATTTATCATGAGATATTCTTGTTGAAGGGTCTTGTTCGTCATTGTCTTCTTTTAATTCTTTGATTCATTTCCATTAAGAATTTGGATCCTTCGCATGCAATGTCTCTAAATTTTTCATAATACTTGCTTTAAATTCTCTTTGTTTATATTTGCATTGTATATTATAATGTTTACGATACTTGAAGAAAGAGCCTCTTATAATCGGATCAAAAGGATATTTAGAATACAATTTAAATTTATTTAATAACTCTAACTTCATTTTGTGTAAATCATATTCAAACCATTTTTTATTTTTATGAATTTTATCTTTTTTCACACCTACTTTAACCTTAAGGGATGTCTTTAACGATTTGTCGCATGCTGTTTTAATAATATCATTAAATCTCATTAAAGCATGATCACGTCCAGATTTATGCTCGTTACAAGAACTGTTTGAAGGATGGACAGATCTATAATTAATTACGTTTAAATCATCTTCCAAATATTCTTTTATCATTCTTTGCACTTCATTATTATTCAGCGCAGCTTGAAAATGTATAATAGATTCTTTATTCCATTTTTCCAATCGCATTATTCTAGACAATCAAGTTCTTCTCGGAGATTCTCGGAGAAAAGGAAAACACCATTTTATTTATTTATATAAGAGGATGGAATTAATATGTTCGAGTTCGATACATGATTTTCTTTGCCAAACTCCTGAAAATTGGCTTTAATCTGGCATGTTAATTTTGCATGGTCTGAGAGAATTGGTACATGATCATGAATCATAAAATACAAAATGTTGTTTGACAGTGAATTTGATATTATACAATAGTCAACGATACTATTACCATTGTATTGAAAACACGTAAACTTTCCACTTAAATCTCCAACAGTTCTCCCATTCAAAAAATGCAAATCATGGGGTATACAAAAATCAATGAGATCTCTTCCCCTCTTATTAACAAAAGAATCATGACTAGATCTAACAGGCAAATGATAATCAACATGGTCAAATGAAGTTGGAACATAAGAATCAAAATCTGTGTTTTCTATTTCAGTCCCGGTCCTTGCATTAAAATCGCCACATATTATAATATTCCCAATTTGGCTATATTCTGTGACATTATGTTCTAATATTTGTAAGACATCCAGATTGTTTCTTATGACATATGATGAATTAGACTGGGCAAAGTATGTGAAACAAATGTAAAGATCCTTTTCAAAGCCAAAGAATTCCTTAGCTAATCTGATCCACTGTATTTCACTACTGGTATTTTTGATAATTTTGATTCCTGGTTTAATAGAGTTTTTCAACAAAATTATGATCCCCCCTGATACAGGATATTTTTCTTCTTTAGGGCGGGGAACTGAAATAGAGCTAAAATCTTGATTGAAGTCAAAGTGGTCATCTTTACTATGTTTTGTTTCTAATATACCAAATATATCATATCTACTAATCTCTGCAAGGAAATATTTGTCTCTCGATTTATTGTGAACTGAAGATTTCAGTTGATTTATATTCCAACTTCCAATCGCATTATTCTAGACAATCAAGTTCTTCTCGGAGATTCTCGGAGAAAAGGAAAACACCTTGTTTGGACAAGTGCTTTTGGTCACGCAAGATGCATCTGAGTGGCATGCCTCTGTAGAATAAATTGCTGTTGTCACAAAGAACGACGGAATTGTCACGCTTGTAGTGATTCTGAAGATCTATGTTCAGAGTATTTATTCGCAGGTTGAATTCACGGTCTCCTCTGGGTAAGCCAAGAGATATCATAAGCATGAAATAGTTGGGTTTTTTTCGCATTCGGCTTACCATAAATGAAATTATTATAAAAAAGTATTTTGATAAATAAGCTGTATTCATCTTGTTTATTTCTTTTCAATTTTTAAGTATATTCTTTAAAGTAATATGTTGAAGAAATTCAATCAACTCACTGATTATTTTAGAATCCGGATAGGGCCATAAATTAAGTTTACT